GTGTGTGTATGTGTCCAGATTGATATAATGATATAGATAGAAAAGTATCTGTTGTTGTTGTTGTTGTTAAGTGCTGTCAAATCGTAGATGACTCATAATGACCCTGTGAATGAAAGACCTGAGCACTTGTATAACTTTCATCATTTCTCCATGTTCATAGACTTTCTGGAGGTAAAGTGGATGCCACTCTTGCTTCCAAGCTTGTTTTAACTAGGGAGCTCCACCAAACACCATGCGTAACCATTATTGCATTTGACACATCAGTGTCACAGTGTTCAGCATCACAGGAACCATGAGTTACCTCTGTACAGCAAATGGACAGACGAATGCTATACCACTTAGAAGAATGTTTGACCAAAAACAATTAAAACCAGGCCTGAGGGCTGCAGATTAAAGTCACCCACTTTTAACTTGGAAGCACAACTTTCTATCCACTAAGTGGGACAACAGAGCTCTCTTTGTGCTGTTGTTGTTGTTATTGTATCTAGACATTAATTTAATCTTTTAAATATTTAAGTCTTATATTATCTTCATTTTACACAACAGGGAAAAGGAAAAGAAAGGTTACTTAAAAGTTTGAAAGGTGGTTGATATTTATACTCAGATTGTCTTGCTTCCAAAATCAATACTCTCAACTACTACATTGGACCCTCTAGGCAACAATCTTTTCTTCTCATTCTGAATATTGGTTTTATTTTTTTTACATTTATTAATGTCATGCAAGATACGCACACAAACACAAACTTGTTCATGTGTGTGCATGTGTGTATAACCCCTTAGCCAAGTTAATAACCCATTTAAAATAAAAAAATATTCAATAGTACTATTTTATATACTTAGCCAAATTTCAAGATAATGATCAAAGGAGCATTTTCTTCTCTTACCATTTTTAAGATGCTTTGACCTTTCTTGTTCATAGACCATTTCCTCTTCTTCAGAGAGTGCAATATCAACTGTACTGCATTCCGATGAGCTAGATGGTTTTATTTTCTAAAATATTAAGTTCCATTAAAAAAGTTGCAATTCAAGTTTCACTTTATTTCTTTTTAGATGCAAGAGGAATTATGTTTAGAAAGGGTACTATCAGGATTAAAGAATTTTAAGACAACCTCATAATTGAGATGATAATGCATACATATTAATTTGAGGATAAATGTATTAAATTATTTTTAAATATTAAAAGCAAGATAATTTCAGATGAGAATAAACAAAGTAACACTGTTATCCTAAAGACATGCCAGATAGTTCAAATTTATAAAAATGTTAGGATTCTAAAATGTTCTTCATATCAATATATTTTTTGTATGAAATATCCTTCATGCTATTTCACTTAAATAGTGTAAAAATATAAATACATTTCTGTATATCCTATCTGAACTCAGAGATCATCTGAAGAATACATTTGATGCATCAGACACTAAGGAAAGAAGATAATACAAGTTATAGAATGACAAATGTCATGGCATTAATGGTTGGAAAATATTGCTTTGGTGATAGCAATGATGCCAGAGATTTTATATGACTAATGATTTCTTGCAAATATTCTTTAAAAAAACAAGCGCACATAAATGGTGACTATATATTAGACCTCCCCAGATGTAATAACATGGCAAAGAAATTAACTACTCCTGTGGAAAGAAATGGTGAGGAAAAAAAACCATAAAATAAATAAATATTATATAAGCAATTAGAGAAATGCCAGAGGCCCATTGAGATCAATAAAAGATCACATGCAAGTTTAATTTGAAACTGAATAAAATGAAAATACCTTCATGAGAGCCAAAATGCCATATTGAATATAAACCACCTGAATTTATAAAGTATCTGAAGAAGTTTAATCTATTTAACACTAATAATTAAAGACTAGAATAATTGTAGAATGACATCAAGTGCATTATCCATGAAGAAAACAAAAAGATCATTAAAAAGAAATAAAAGACAAAAAAATTATGTCAGAAGATATGGAAACTTGTTCTGGAATATAGAGTAGCTAAAGAGACTGGAATGCAATAAACAATGTGAAAGCGAAAAGCCAATACAGTGAAACATTAAAATGAAATATACAAAGGCCTGAAGTTAGAAAACCAAAAGAGAAAAAACACTTGTCTATGCTCAAGCTAAAGAAACAGTGTAGGGAAAACCCCTAGGAAAGTCTTCAAACCAGTAGTTTAAACACTGAAGGTTTTTATGGGTAAAATATTGAATTATTTACTCATTGTACCAAGAAAAGATTTGGTTGATGCTCACTCATTTCAAGTGGAAGTATATGCTCAATCAAGAACTGAAGGTACTGAACAAAAAAGTCTATGCTGTACAGAAGGCATTGGTGAAAACGAAGGCCATGGTCTTTGCAATTAGTTGTTATGCATCAGAGAGCTGGACAATGACTAAGGATGATAAAAGATAAGATGCCTTTGAGTTGTGATGCTGAAGAAGAGTCTTAAACATACAAATAGGTCTATCTTAGAGACGGTGAAAGCAAGTTTCTCCTAGGAGGCTAGGATTTTGAAGCTCCATCTCACATACTTTGGACATGTGTCCAGAAGGGACAGGTCTTTGGAGAAAGACATCATACTTGGAAGGGTGGAAGGACAGTGGAGTAGAGGATGGGACGCATTGATACAGTAACTGTGGCAATGGATATAGGTGTGTCAGAGTCAGTGACAGGGCAAGGTTCAGAGCTGTTGTAAAAAGGGTCACTATGAGTTGCAGGAGACTTGATGGGATGTAACAACAACAGAAATTGACAGTATACCAGTTGAAATGTTTTGACAGAAGGATACAATGCTAGAAATGCTCACTTTCAATGTTAAGAAACTTGGAAGACATGGCCAACTTTCTGGAAGAAATTCAGATATGTGCCCATTCAAAATGTAGATAATCCAAAGAACACAGAAATTACCGGATAATATCATTAATATTACAAAAACAATTTTTTTCTGAAGACAATCCAAAAATATTCACAAGAGTAAATATTTTTGAAAGAAACTGGCACAAATTTCAAACTAGATTCAGATGATAGCCTGAAATAAATTATGTCAATATTGATACCAAATGGATCTTGCCTGACAGTAAAGAATACCAGAAAGGTATGTACTTGTGTTTTTATTGACAATGTAAAGGCATTAGATTGTGAAGATAATAATCATAACAAGTTATAGTTAATACTAAAAAGAATATGAGCTTCATAACACTTAATAGTGCTCATACATTTGTATACAGATCAAGAAATACTTATTTTGATCAGAACAAGGAAATATTGCATAGTTAAAAAAATTAGGATAGGTTTAAAATATATGTGAAGGGTTTCAATCTGTTTAACTTATTATCCATCTTAAGAAGTAGGTATTATTTTAACCTCATTTTCATATGAGATAACTAAAACTTACAGAGGTTAAGTAATTTGTTTAGTGTTATATAATCAGGATCAAGGTGTGGTAGAGAGAGGAGTAAATGAACATTCTGACTCTGACACCTCAGAACTGAGTCAGGTTCATCACAAAAGTTGCTATTAATCAACACAAACTCATAAGGGAAGTCAAATACCTTACCTCTTTGCTGCTCCCATAACCTGACTTGCTCTGAATTTCCTTGTTATCCAGATTTTCAATATCAGATTCCCCTGAAGCGATTGGTACACTTTCTGAGACACTAGGACTGGGGATAAGTGATTGGTTCTCATTGTCAGTCATGTTTTTCTCAGTGCAACTGCTTTTATCCTTATCCTTGGGGAAATCTTGGGTGTTGCTCAACTGAGAAAGGGTATTGTCCGAAATAGTTTCTTTGACATAAGTTTCGCTTGCATTTTCCATTACTTCCTGTGGTATATTTTGTTTTTTGCATAATACTTTTAATAACACATTGTTAACTGCTTTTTTAATCTGTGCCACTGCAAGCTGGACATTTTTTGCATCTTTGTTCTCTTCAGTTGGTTGAGACTTGTGTGAACTAAATGAGCTTACCAAAGCCACAAACAGGTAAAGTATCTAAAAAGAAAACAAGAGACATCTGAATATATGTTATTTTTTTAAAAAAATTCAATATAAAAATCCTTAAAAGTCTGCTGATCTGAGGTTTGAACTCTAAACCTACTTACAAAACAAGTACAATCATAGACCTTTCCTATTCACCCACAATAGGCCAGATAATGGACTAGGGTTTGCTAATAACAACAGCCTAAGGAATATATTAGGCCTTCTTATTCTAAAATGAAAAGGAATAGACTTAAGAAGTCAATTGCCAGACATCACAGAGGCTTATAATCAAGTCTGTCATATTCCAAGACTCTTTCACTTAGTTAGGCTGCTTCTCCTAGAGATGGAAACATTAAATCCTACTCCAAGGGTGCTGACTTCATTTTATCCCTATCTTTATTAGAAATGAGATTATTCTACCAATTCATGAGGATTTTAGTGAAGTGAGAACTACCCATGCTTCTAAAGACCACATCTAGTGAGTCAGACAAACAGAGGTATTAAAGTTGATTTTAAGGTATTGGGATAAATTTGGCCAAACAAGAAGAGGTAATGAAGCAACAATTCCTAATATATCTAGTCATTTTGGACTTACATTTGGTGGATATTTTTATCTTTCTTAATACTGACAGATAGTATATCCAGTTTTCAGAGAGTCAGAATTTAAATGCAAGAGATGTAATTTTTTGCATGCTAGTGAGGTAGATTCATAATAATTACTTTCTTAGAACTCAAATAGAAATTTGAACTTTATGTTTATTCTCATAGTTATACTCCCACTCTTCAAATATTTTGAATAGTCTATCTGATGTATTTATATATATATAAATATACACACACACACAAACACACACACACACATATACAATTAAGTTGGGGTTTGTGTTTGCTTTTTTTTTTTCACAGTGAGGAAAAACTTTTATTTGGAATTAGCCAGCTGGACTCAGTTATATGATCCCAATTTTGTGAGTCACAGTTAGGGGCAAGTTGAACATAGGCCTTTTTCTCTCCATCAGGCCTAATTAAGGTGACAATTAACATATTTTTATATCTTCTTTCTGATATTTTTACTCATTGGGATAGTTAAAAAAGGAATTGTACTTACTAGTTATATGTACATATAGCTTTTGTATGTAAGTTATATATGTATAAATAAAAAGTATAATGCTTTTTATTAATATGCACATAGGAGAAATTAAGAATATAATACCAAGCACTGTTAATCTTTCAAAATGTTAATCTTTGAAAATTCTGAGCTGTTTTCCTACAATCTAACATTTTAGAGAGTTATTTAAAAATCCTTTTATAAATAATTGCTTTTGCATAGGTTGATGTTAAGTCATCTTTTTATTTTCCTTTAAAGCTGAGGATCATTACTAAAATTTTATTGCCAGGAATAACAGAAACATGTTTGTTTTTTTTTTAAATCTGAATAACTTCCTTGTTTACTAATGAGAGAAATATAGAAAGTTAAAATAAGATCTGTGAATCCGTGAATAAGACTTGTGAATTCTGTGCTAGCATTTCGTTTTCTTGAACTTACTCTAGTATCATTATCATAATGATTCATAGCTAGATACCTGTTGAGGGGATTAAAGCAAAGAAAGTTTAATAAACCAAGTGATAGGATGGCTAGGCTAGTCAAATGGGAATATACGTTCATATAACTTCCTTTTAATCAGAAATCCTTCTTGCTTATTGTTTTGGAATTGTTGACCATTAGAAATAGGACAAATGAGAAATAAAGTGGATTATACAAGTAAAGAAACAGAAACTCTCTCTCTCTCTCTCTCTCTCTCTCTCTCTCTCTGTGTGTGTGTGTGTGTGTGTGTGTGCTTTTCCATATATAGATGTGCTGTTACCTTCATGACCCTTGCTTCTTAGACCAAAAAAAAAGTTTTGAGAAATCTCACTTATTCATCATCAATCACATGACTTGAATTTCAATGTATTTCATCTCCAGCTCTCTTGAAGAGTTTGAGTGGCTTAACATAATCAGTTATTCCATAGTCTAGGCAATAGAGATCGCCTCAGAAATGGGCATGCAACTCAATTAGAATTAATGAGTTAGTGGAAGTTTGATGTTGCTTCTAGAAAAGAAATGCTGCCCTTCATTGAACTTCATGTAATATGAAGCTGCAGATTGCTGGAGTCAACTTAATAGCACAGAAAATAGAAGCCACCAAGGTACATAAGCAAAACAGAACTAAGAAACAAAAAAAGCTCATTCTAATGATCACAGGTTCATTATTGGGTTACACTCCAATAACTAAAGTGAGATTTGATTCTGATATTTTGAGTCATATAAACTGATACATTATCATTTTTTTCATAAGCCAGTTAGTCGAATGTTGTTCAGTGTTTAAAGAATAGCTCCAGAGGCAGTGACTTTTAAAAAATATAATCTGATTTGGATTTATGAAATTATTTTTCCATTTTGAGCTAGAACTTTTCCATTTCATTCTAGAATTTAATGATACAAAGAAGAGTCATGGTTCTTCCCTTAACAGAGCTTATGATTTAATAAAGAAGACATGAAAGTATATTTAAAAACCTGATTATAATACCAACATTATTATAAGCGTATCACAGAGGAATAGCCAAAGTGACAGAGGCAGTGAGGAAAGGCACACATACAATTGAGTCTAACCTGTGATTTTGATCAGTCTTTTGTTTTCATATGTATGATATGTCTGAAATTTGTGAGTTAAAAGCAAATATTAAGTCTTTTTCTGTAAGAAACTTCTTATTTTAAAAGTTATACTTGTTTCTCAAAATAAGCGAAAGCTTCTTATTTAGTCATGCAACACCACTTCAACGATAGAGAAAAAAACCACAACACATTTCCCTTAGTTAATGCTTAACAGTTTTATGAACCAGTGATTTTCAAGTTTTGCTGCAAAAAATCTGATGCCCAATTTATGTCCATAAAACTTAAACATAGAATCTCTGGGAATGTGCCCAGGGCATTAGTATATTTTTATTAATTCCCCAGGTAGTTCTAATGTACATCTGTCTGGAAAACCAGTGTTATATTTAAGTTCCCCTTAAAAATTAATGTGTATACATGTCACCTGGGAATATGTTTAAAATGTAGATTCTACTTCCACAGGTATGAAATAGAGGCAGAGAATCTGTATTTCTAACAAGTTCTCATGTGATGCCAATGTTTCTTTGAATGGAAAGTCACATAAATCAGAAGGGGCTCTGGTGGCCTAGTGGTAATAAGCTGTTTCAATTCTGAAGGCATGTGGTTCAAATCCAGCTGCTTGACGGGAGAATAATGGGCAATTTGTTCTGCTACAACTAAACTGCTTCTGGAAACCTGCTGGAGGGTAAGCTATGAGTTGATTCCAATTCAACAGTACACAACAACATCAAAGAAAAAATATGATTAAATCCACAAGTGTAATTTTGAATCCCTATTATTTAAAGGTCAAAAAGTAACATGAATCTTAAATATGTTTTGCTCATTTTATGCAAATTATTATTTTAAACATATTCAATATAGAAATTAGTAATGAAATAATTTAAGCTTTTAGGGAAAGAGGACATACTGTAGAGTTAAGACAATTGTAGTTTGTAGTGGTCACATTTCAGGTAAGCAGTAATCACATACGGCTAATAGCTATAAAATTGAAGAACACAAGTTGAGACCATTGTATCCCATCTATATACATCAAAAAGGAAAAGCTACATTATGTATTCCCCCCCAAAGGTAATGTGATATTACTGATTACTTACCAATAAGTTTCCAATTAAAATAACGATCATGTAAAAAGGAATACATGTAGCTCGGCTTGCCACCTGCATACAGTCCCATAAAGTCTCTATCCATTCCCCACACAGCATCCGGAGCACGTTCATATAGGAGTGGAAGAAGTCCTGCATGTGCCAGCGGGGCAGCTGACAGTCACTGTTTATATTACAAACACAGTTTTCATAGCTCGCACCAAAGATCTTCATTCCAAGCGTAGCCGAGAAGAAGATAAAAGTGAACAAGAGCAAGACCAGGTTTTGCAAGGCCACCAATGATTTATTGAGGGTCCACAGTAGATTCCTAAATGTTGGCCAGTATTTCCCCAGTTTAAAAATTCGGAGCTAAAAGAGAAATGTAACAAATAAGGAAGCAAATAAATCTTAATTAGTATATATTATGATGCATATTTAAAATTATCAATATAATATACACATATGTTCTTTACTTTTGAGCATTGTTAAAGTTAATTCTTGGGTAATAATTCAGTGTGTAATATATAATTAATTTTATTCTAAAATTGCATGTACTATGTTAATATATATTCTCTGTTAGTGATCTGCTTGTTAATCTCCATTCCTTTATAATTGCTCTAGTTTCATTTGATGTTTATGTCTGTTAAGAACAAATATTCATTCATTCTTTGTTTCTCAAGTTATTTTGATTCCCTTTCCATATTTTTTATCCAGATAATAAATAACAATCTTTCATGGTCCACTGAATTATACTGATGGTCATATGTATAATTTTTAAAAATGTATATTTGGAATCACAGAAGCCAAGAAAGCTTAAGATACAAACTGTCAGATCATGGGTTGGGCAATGGAAGTTATTTTTCTGAAGGGACTTGGTAGATGAGAAGGATTATCCTGGTGGAGGGTGGAGCTGGGAAGCAAATGGGTAATGGCACTGGGCTAAGGGGGGGGTCAACACTTTAACTAACGCTTACCCCCACAATAAGGGATTTATCTTTAACTGCTCCAAAAATTGCTGTCTGTCAGATACTCCTCTAAATCTGAACATTCAGATTAAGACAGACTAGGAAGAAGGATTGGCCACCCACTTCTGAAATA